CTGTAGCTTTGAGCACACAATGAACATTTAGGGCTTTTCTGTAACTTTGCAAAGAAAGGTTGTGTAGAGCTGGGAGACGTCTCATTTTAATCAGAAATTTGCGGGCTACAGTCATGCCTTATTAAGAAACGTTTTAGTTATTTTTTTAGAGTTTCTGAAAAACTGCTTTTCCAGAAAACCGGGACTTCAAGAGCCATGGGGATAAATCCTTTTAGGCTTTTTACTGGCTCGATACCCTCTATCGATTGGTATATGAATGAATGAAATTGGAAGGGGACACCGAAGAACGTTCCCTCGTAAGGGAAAACTAGACTGTAAAACAATGAGTCATCCAGTCAACAGCTTCAGCTAAGACTGACTACTTTTTCAACTTTTACCGAGATTATTGGTATACCAGCAAAAATCTAGCTGTTTTCGCAGTTGAAAAGATATATGCGATAAGCACGTTGCACAACTCTGAGAATACAGAAAAGTGCTTACAAAATACTCAAGTCTATCTCAACAACACAGAAATGTTACTTACGTCGTCTGACATGAATATATCTCTAATATAGCTCTTTCGAAATAGATTATCATTTAATTCTTCATGTTTAATATTTGTCTGGTTCTGATCATCTAGAGCAATTGCCACTTTTTTATACGAGCTAAAAAAGTTTTCTTTTGATTGTCGAGTATCAGTCATAAAATAGGGCGACATATATACTTCATTATAATGCATGAATATATCATTTCCCAAACGTTTTAATACAGTGATATGAATATATTGCAGACGCGAAGCTAATTCTATAAGAAAATCTTTTCGTTCTTCGTAAGAATGTTTTCGACAAGCATTTTTATCAGCATATTGTTTAATCGTTTCCAATAGTGATGTTATTGTGTCGGTACTTGTTAACAATCGGCGACGTAATCGTTGAATCTTAGATGTTTCACAGCAGAATTCATCTATACGTCGAATTTTAGTGGAGTGTGACCGAGACGAAGGAAACATTTTTAACTGATTTTGTGCATCTACGAATTTCGGGTGCTCTTTCT